CCACCCGCAAGTCGTTTCTGAGAGGATAAGGAGCAAGGCAGGCTTGCCGCCTCACGCGCACTGCTGGCTCTCGCCGGCGCCATCTCCTTCACCTGGTAAACTCAGGCTCGTCACATGCTGTGGTACTCAGTGCCACTTACCAGGACGAGCAATACGTGACAACAAAGCACTGCGGGACTGCAAGCCTGTGTTCCTTTCTGGTTCTAATGATGCATATAGTCCTACGTATCCTCAAACGGGCCAATTTGAGAATGCAGAAAGCAAATTCACAAACAGGGCATGCTCTAAACTTTGAGGTACTCACTGAGCAGTGTCCACCTTATTTTTATTTTTAGTTGTTTTTTTTTTTTTATATATATAGGTAAGTTCTCACTATGCAGTCCAGACTGGCCTCAAACTCAGGGTCACCCTCCTGCCTCAGCCTCCCAAGTGCTGGGATGACAGGCAGGTGCCACCAGACGCACTGAAGTTCACACACATGTGGGTCCTCCCCTCAGTGCCAGGCCCTTGGCCCTTGGGGTGGTGTGGCAGCATCCCATCACCTGCCACTGGACACAGAGTCCTCACTGACCCATTCTTTCCACAGAGACCACGCAGCGCAGCACAGCCGGGCTTTGGGCTGCTGCCCGGCCTCTGTGCCCGCTGCTCAGCTCACCTGCTCCGACTCCACACTGGCTTCCTTCAGCTTGCTCTCTGTCGCCTCTTTGCATCTCTTCAGGTGTCTGATGGTTTCTTCCAGCTCCTGAATAAAAATATGACGCAGAGATCTCACAGGTCCCTGGGGCAGCGCACGGAGCCAGAGCGTGGCAGCCAAGTGACAAGCATGGGATGGGCGCGCCCAGATCTCACACGGGCATCTATTTAACCCACGTGTACAGTTAGAGGGGGGATTTATAGACTCTGCTGAGCCCGATTCGTGGCTCCAGAGTGGAGGTGCCTTGGCCAGCGGACAGTCCATGCCGAAAGGCAGGGGCGTAATGCCCTCTTGAAGTTCCTTTCCAGGGACACAATGTTCTGTTTCTTATTAGGTCGGGAACGGCTCAGATTCCTGTCGCGGCAGCAGGTGTACCTGTGCTCAGGAAAGAACCCAGGGGATTTAACTCCAAGACTGTGATGGCCACCTCAGAAGCCTGGTTTAGTAGCTCAAGCAGTTTTCTTTTTTTTGTACTTTAGGGAAGGTCTACAGGGTGTGCAGGGTCTCACTACTACATCGGACTCACAGTGATCCACCTGCTTACAGCCTCCCAAGGGCTGGGATTACAGGCGCGCACCACCACGCCCAGTCTCAGCTGTCTCCGGGCGCCCAGGGGCGGGGCCGGCATGGCAGGCCTGGAGATTAAACCCCTGGCTCCTGCGCCCCCTTTCAGGCGCTTCGTCAAGCAGTTTTTCTTTACAAGTGGATAGTTTTATGAAATTAAACATGGTGGTGGGTGTGATGACACATGCCTGTAATCCCAGCACTTGAGAAGGCTGAGGCAAGAGGACTGCAAGTTCAAACCCAACCTTGGTAACTCAGTGACAAAATCTGTCTAGAGATAAAAAGAAGCTGGAGGTGTAGGCCAGTACTGGGGAAAACCATGGAACACGTGCGGTGTCCAAGCTCCCGGCCTCCTCTGAGGGAACACCGTCCTCACAAGGGCCACTGCGCATGGCTTTTCTTCTGCAGCACGAGGCATGCAGACGCCACCCGGCTCCTGCCCGTGGCCCAGCGCTCACCCGGCACCGGGCCTCCAGCTCCTGCCGCAGCTTGTGCTCGGCCGCCAGCCGCAGCTCCTGCTGCCTGTTCCGGGCCGAGGCTTCGCCCTGGCTCCTGGCCAGCAGCTGCATCTCCTTCTGCAGGTTGGCCACCTCCGACACGAACCTCTGGATGCTCAGGGACTAGCGGGCGACAGGGAGGCCGGTGAGCCCGGGCTGGGCTTGGGCAGCGGGCGAGCCCTGTGGGAGCCCTCTACCTGCTCGTAGTTCTTCTTCTGATACTGATCCTTAATCAGCTCCATCTGCCGCAGTTCCATTTCTATTTGCTGAAAATAAACGCAGACATGACAGGCAAAGATGGGAGGACAAGCTGGCTGTTCCCTGCCCTGCAGGACGGCGGACTCCCAGGGCACGCGCTTCCTGCTGGCGCCACTTCCTGCTGGGCCCACGGAGCCCAAGGAGCCAGGGTGTGGCCCTAGCAGCGCCGCACAGCTGCAGCTCCCGGGGACAGGGTCCCCCGCCACCCCTCAACGCCCAGGAGGAGGCCTGCTCCCAGATGCCTAGCCCCATGGAAGAAGGGGACGCGGCCAACCTTCATCCGCTCCACGTTCTGGGCGTTGGCCGTCTTCGCTGACAGGTGGAGCTTGATCTGGGCCTTCTGGCTCCTGAGCCTCTCCTGGCTGCTGCTCAGCGTCTTCTCCAGCTCGGCGAGCCTCTGCCGCAGCTCCCGGTTGGCCCTGGACACCTCCACCGACCGGACATTGGCCTCGTCCAGGGCTTTCTTCAGCTTGGAACATAAAGGAACACATGGGGTCTTTCTGCCCACCGTTCCGAAGAGAAGCTCTGCAGGGCCGCTCCTGAGAGCGGCAAGGACATGACAGTGGCCAGGCGGCTCACGGAGCACAGATGGGGGACGAACAGGCAGACGGGCCCGGCGGGCTCTGCGCGTGGGACTGGCTCAGACCTCAGCGCACTCAGCCTTGCCACTCACCAGCTGAGTGGTCTGGGGTCAGTGACTTCCTGAGCTCATCCCTGAAGAGCAAGACACAGAGTTCAGGGAGACAACGGGAGAAAGAATGCAGAGCCGGGCCTCAGGACCACGCTACAGGCTTTTCTCTTGCTCCTGTCACAGCGAGCTCTCGTCCAAAATGGGAAAACAAAGGACACGGGTTTATATAAATCTCGTGAGCTGCCTGTATTTATAATACTGACTTTGGTTGTTTTGTTTTGAGACAGGGTCTCACCGTGTAGGTTAGGCCAGCCTGGGACTTCCTATGGAGCCCAGCACGGGTGGGCTCACGGAGATCCTGCTGCCTCAGCCTCAAGAGTGCTGGATGGACTTTACTAAATTCCTCTCATGGAAAAACAGCATGGTGACTACTTCAATATTTCAGAGTCTACCGAGGCCACTCTGCCCCCTTCTGCTAGCCCCTCTGGAGGGAACGCACCAAGAGACTGCGCTGCTGGCTGCCTTCATACCTCAGTGACCTCCCGCTGCGCAGCCTTCTTGGCTGACTCGCGCTCCGTCTGGAACTGCTTTCGGAGGCCTTCTATGCGCTCGGCGTGCATTTCCGCCTCCACTTTGCACTCCTCTGTCATCCGCTCCCTGTGGTAAAGATGACAGAGGGCAACTCGGCTGGAGAAATCGTCTCAGCAGGCCAGAGCCTCAAGGTGGGGAGCGCACAGCTCCTCAGTGGGGGCTGAGCGGCTGGCAGATGAGAGACGCACCGGCCACTGCTGAATCCCCCTATCTGGAGCTCAGCGACAAGACAAAGAAGTGCCTGTCCCTGCAGTAGACACAACTGAGAGGCAATAAGGCACACGAAGGAAGACGGAGGTGGCGACAGTGCAACAGGAACCCCATGCTCAGTGCATCCCACAGTGACATCACCCCCAGGGTCAGCGGCAGTCCCCAGGGTCCAGGCCTCAGCAGAGGACCGTGCATGGGGCACCCAGGCTGCAGGACCCTATCCCCCGCCCTCATGGAGCCTGTCTTTTGTGAAGCTGGTTCCTGGTGCCAAGAAGGTGGGGCTACTGGGGACCCGGCCACTACAGCGAGATTCTGGCACAGCCCCTGACACTGTGTCTCAAAGTACGGGCAAATCTGATGCACACATGGCTCTCTTCCAGGGGAACTGGGCCTTGGGAGAGTCATACAGGAGAAGGGGACGCACAGATGCAGAGGTGGCATCTGGGCAGCCTTTTCCAGTGCGAGGTCTTAGCCCCCAGCCAGCGAGGTTTTCTGCACAGTGCTTGCAGAATCACTGAAAGTCCTCCACGCCAGCTGGGCAGTGAAGGTTTAGGCAGAAAGTAGGGCAAAGCCTGAAAATCCTCTGGGGACCACAGGGTGAAACTCCCTCCCTCCTACTAAACAGATCTTTGCAGGATGCTTCTATGAGTGGTGCGGTGAGGGTCTCAGCACTGCTGCAGTGAGGTGACCTTAATGCCACCGCTTCAGATACATCGCACATTCCTCAAAGATGAGCCTGAGGCCCACGATGCTGAAATCACGCGAAACCGTTCTTAGGAGGAAGAAGGCACAGGTGGGGGTTACAGTTCAGACATGTGGGTTCCGAGGTGCAATTAACTGAGCAGCCAGGCCTGTTCTGAAAAGGGGTCCAAGCTGGGCTGCATCTCCACAAAGTGAGGGCTGGGGCTGGGGTGAGCCACTGTGCCTTGGCAGAGGGAGAGGGTAGAGTGGGTCAGACCTGGGGTCCCATGCACCCCAGGAGCAGGTGCTGGGGGGTGCAGCAGAGGAGCAGAGAAGGTGCCCGAGCCCTGCTGCCAGCTACCTACTGGGGCCACATTCTGCAGGCCTAGAGGGCTGCAAAGCCCAGGGGCAAGGTCCTAGGTGAGAGAGAAAGCAGCTCAGAAAGCAGCAGGTGCAGCCACATGAAGAAAGACGACTGTGCTGCAGGACTATTCTCAGGGTGCTGGGGACCCTGACAAGTGTTGGGGAGGGGGCACAGTGCCTTGGGCTGGGAGCAGGATGAGGTGCCCTGCTAAGAAGTGGGCACCAGCAATCGTCCATCTGGAATGTTCTTTGGGGGAAAACTAGGGACAGGACGCTAAGTCCTGGGATGTGGTAATGGCCCCGAGGTCGCATGCGAACATTTGCTAAGACGCGAGCTCTGATGCTGACCCGTGCGAGCACAGCACCAGAGCTGAGCTGAAGGTACACAGGGCTGGGACAGATGTGGAAGAATAAATTTCAAGTGAGTGAAAATGTAAAGGGCAATTAATCAAAACAAACTGAGAGAGGATTTGACTCTCTAGGACAAAAGGATGGTGATGGCTGCTGTCGCTTGCTGTGCCAGGTATGAAATGCCTCTCTCAGCACTGTGCCCAGGTGGATGCCCCGGGGCCTGCCTGCAGTCCCAGCAGGGCCACGGCGGGAGGACAGGAGTGTGCACAACATTTACAGCCACAGGACGGTAGGCGCTGTCACCATTCCCATTTTACAGATGAGGAAACAGGCATCTGCAGTGAGTTCCCACGTGTGTGGTCATCCCCTGGGGTCCAGGCTCTGGTCCAAGGGACCTGCTCGCCTGGCACTCACAGGTGCAGAGATGGCACGGAGAGGGGGTGCCCCACACCCAAGGTCAGACATTGGCCAAGGAAGCCGGGACTGGGATACCAGCGGTGGGGGCTAGTGTCAGGGTGAGCCGAGTGACCAGCCCCAGCAGTGGAGGTGGCACAGGTGGTGGTACGAGCAGTGGGGGGCTGGGCATACAGAAGCGCCGCCCTCTGCCTTCACCAGCCAGGACTGGGGGACCCTAATTCAGCGAACCCCAGGCTGAGACTGACAAGGATGAATGGCGTGAGAGTCTATTCTGGATGGCCTAGCACCCAGACAGACGGGAGCGCCCCTTAGAGCCGGTGTCCTTCAACCTTCCCTACAGCAGCAGCTTCAATGTGCCCAGAAGCTGCAGGCTGGGGCTGAGCTGGCCCAGGTGAGCGACAGTTCTTCCTGCTGCCCCCAGCCTGCAGCCAGGGTCCTTACCTGAGGGCTTCTAGATTCTGCCACTCCAGTTCTTTGTTCTCTAGCTTTTCTTGAATGTGATCCAGCTTGCTTTGCAGATGAGAATTTGTCTGGAGAGCCTGCTCTAGGCTCAGGGCCAGTTTCCTGTTGTCCTCTCTAGCTACGTCTAGAGATTTCTGTAGTGGCTCCATCTGAGAGGGAGAGTGTTTTCAGACCACTGCGACAGACGCAAGAAGTCTGCCCCCACTCCTCCCACCTCTCAAGGGCCACTGGAGGGCTCCGTGGGGCCTGGAGCCCACGCATGTGAACTCCCTGCAGATATCACAACTCTGAGAGGCAGGGAGGGGTAGCCCCATGTCACCAGTGAGCTCGGAAACCAGAGCCGGCTTTACTTATCTAACTTTAAAAATCCTTAACCAATTAGATTTGTCTTCCTGATCCTAGCACCTTCTGGGCTCATTCTCTAGGAAAGATCAAAACCAACAGCTGATCCTTGTACACTGCTTGGAAGGTGATCTCTATGAAACAGCTCGGGTAATCCAGATGTACCCAGTCCACGCAGGCACAGGGTCACACAGGGCGTGCCTGTGTGTGTCTCCTTACTAATAGCGGGATCACCCTAGCCACCTTTTAAAAAATTAAAAGTAATTTTTTTCAAAGTCTTTAACCTCTGAAGCTATTTGTAGATTAATATAAGTGCAATACATATTTCATTCATGAGGTATAACATTTCATTAAAATACATGAAAAGTGTATTAGCCACATAAGCCAAGAAAGCCAGTCTGAAGTACAGCCCTGGTTTGCCCCTGCGACTGCGGGCCCACTTCCTATTTGCAGATGGGTCACCGTCCCAACTCAGACGTGGATGAGAGGCTGTCCCCTCATCTCCGAGCTGGTCCTGCCCAAGGTGCTGGCAAGGCCAGCAGCACCCTCTGCGCGCCCGGCTGCACCTCGCTGCTATGCTGCGCCTCCACCACGAGCACCCTGGCCTGCCACTGGTCCACCTCGGCTTCCAGCTTCTGCACCCGCTGCAGCTGTAGAGCCCTGCGGACAGAAAGCACCAGAAGAGCGGCCCTTGAAGAGTGCTGTGGGAATGCCACGCTTGAGAGCGGCCACCCTTCTCCCGAGACCAGCCCTGCACCACGTGTGCTTGGCCACCAACACCCAAACACTGCAGAGCTGCTCAACGAGACGCTGCGGGCAAACTCAGCTGCCTGCGGACTCCATGCCTTTCTCATCAACTCGGCCACAGAGCTTGGGGCGGCTATGGCAGACCTGTCGGAGGTTCCAGTGGTAACACATGGCTGGCTGTGGCACGTGTGCCGTAGGCTCGCCACCACTGCGCTGGGTGTCTGAGCACGTGCATGCCTAACTACAGGCTGGTAGCTATGCGGTGACTTCATCTTTACAAGAGGCCTCACCTCCACAGCACTGCTTGCCCTGGGAAGTGCTCCTTCTCCAGACAACTGCGACTCAGAAGTTCATTAGGCGTGGCGAACAACATTTTTGATGCTGTTCTCTTGGCATTTTGAGCTCAAAACAATCTTTACCGTTATATACACATCAATAGGCACAATGAAAAAAGTCAGATTCACTTGTTCTGTCATGACACACAGGCACCGTGCACCGCTGACATGGATGAGCCCTGTAATGAGCTTTCCAAGACTCAGACTACTTCTACAACCAAAGCAGGAGAATTAACTGACTTTAAAACATTCAAAGTTTACTTATAAAACATAGCTAGAAATGCTTCTCAAAATGATTTGCCTAATTATTAATCTTGAAATAAGATAAGTGAATTCAAACTAAATCAGTCATTTAGCTCCAATCCTCCTCTCCCTCCCTCCCTCCCGGCTCCCTTGCTCTCTCTCCCCACTCACACAGGGCAGGCAAGCCCTCTGCCACTGACCTAGCCCCTAGCCCAGCTTCAGTTACCTTTGGAATTACTGTTCTGTAGACCTGAACAAAGAACTAGGTTTAACACATTCCTACTGAGTTGAACCACCGGCGGCACATGCACGACCATCCCACTGGGCAGTTTGTACCACCCAGTGAGACCACCTCGTGCTGCCCAATGGACAGTCATGCATGTGCCAGCCAGCAGCGAGGCGCAGCAGTTATGGCCCCACTATGCATGTGGTGCAAGTGCAGAAAGCAGCCAGGGTGGGACAGTGACACTGCATGTGAACTTCAGGATGAAGGGCCAAGACTCCCTTCTGTCAATACAGAGCACGGCAGCTTGGCGTCTTTACAAAGCACTCTCCATCCTCATCCCTGATGGCTGCTCACCTGCTGGCTCTTGCGCACTGTCGCGGCAGTGGTCTGTGACAGAGGACCACCCAGGCGACTCCTTGAAAGAACAGTCGTCTCCATTTGGCTGGGCCTATTCTGTGCACTGGTAGGTACAGAGCTGGCTGGGGCTTTTCCTTATCCCTGCAAGTGGCTTCAAGCAGTGCATATCGGTCTAGCCGAGGTGCTAGTGGTAGTCTTTGACTATGGCATGTGTGCTTGCCTGGGAAGCCCCACCTGCTGCTCTTTGTTATGAGCCAGGTCGAGACAGGACGAAGAGCCAGTGCTCCACACTGTCAGCTGGGATCGAGCCTCGAGATAGAAGCCCTGACTTCCTGGGGCTTCAGAGATTACGTATCAGAGCTGAAGCACCGGACCCCAAAACATTAGACACTGTCTCAATAGTATAATACAAATTACTTTTTCTGCACACCCTGCTCTGCATATTGCAGAGGTAAACGCAGGCCTCCTACCCAGCCCAGCTCACAGTGCTCACCTTCCTGCCATTCTCATTTACTCACCCTGAAGCTACTCCTCCCTCATGACTGAGTAAAACCCAGGTACAGCCCTGGGTTGAGGCCTTTGTTCCGGATAGCTATCACCATGGCTGGACTCAGGAGCCCCTGGCTCCCCATAGCTATAGATATGCCTTAGTGTCTTTATTCTCGCTGTGGGTTGCCCTGGAATTGTTAAATTGGAATTAACTTGATGGGATTCCAATAATGTATTCTGGTATTACAAATACAAACTTCTTGGATTGAGACAAGGACCAGGAGGGGCTCCCTAAAGTCTGCCACAAAAGAAGTGGTGGAAAGTGCCGCCCCCTTGCGCTCCTGAGCGTGGCGCCCTGACATCAAAGACAGAAGCAGAACCACAGGCACCTTTCTTTCTTGAGGCCTGCGATCTCGGAATCCCTTCGCCCCAGCTCTATCTGCACTTTCTCCAGAGCTCCTTGCATCTTACTGTGAGAAGCCAGCACGTTTTCCAGCATGATTGTAACTTTGCAGTTGTCTTCTTTCGCCTCTGCCAACTGTCGCTGGAAGTTTCCCACCTAGAAGAATGTGAAACAAGACAAAGACACTGGATCCCTTCTGGCAATTCCTGGGTTAGAGCACAGAAAGCAGGCCTGGTAGGGGGCTGGCAGGAACAAAGCATTGTTTTATGCTATGCTTCTTAAATCAATGATTCTGAGAAAGAGAAGGGCAGACCTTCATTCTTGTGGGAAACAGTGGTTCCCCGGTCCTGGATGACTCACATGGGTGCTAGCTGGAGACACCGGGGTCCACACACTTGGGTCCAGAGTGGACTGCCGCAGGGCTGCTCAGCTGTCATCTCGAGGGCAGTGGGAGAGGACACAACCAAGCCCCACAGTGCTGGGTGGGGGGAAAGAAAGACGGCAGGACAAAGTGACAACTATTGAAGGCTGTAGCTCACAGCCTTTTGCAAAAAGGCAAAAATGTAGCATCTGCAGTCAAGTTTGAGATGGGGCTGAATGAATACTGTGGTGCACAGTCACGATGGAAGATTCAGCTATGAAACCAAGAGCTCTATCGTTTCAGCAGTAAGGGGAGATATCAAGCTCATTATGTGAAGTAAAATGAAGGCAGGCACAGAAAGAAAACTGTGCCCTCACAGGTGGTGTGATAAAAATAGTTTAAATTTTAAAAACTGATTCCAAGAAAAGACATTAACCTCCTCAAAAAACTCCCCTCACTTCAAACACACTTAGCCCATCATTCTTGCCATTTTCTGAAGTGGCTCTGGAGTCCTCCCTCTCTTGTGTCTCCATATGGGCTGTCATGGTTGCCTCAATATCCTACAGCAGTTAAAAATTTCTTTTCATGCACATGGTGACTTTGCGGAAGAGCCAGAAGTCACAGGGCACGAGATCCAACCGCTAAGGTGGACGGGGACACACCCTCACGCTCTGGACAGAAACTGCTGCACAGAAACAATGCGTAGCACAGCGTGCAGTCAAGACGGGGAGGAAGCTGTCTGGTCATTTCCCAAGCTATATTCTACGCACCTCTTTTTCTTAATCTAGTAAAGCCCTTACAATATTAAGAGTTCATCAGGGGTTACGGACATAGCTCAGCAGGCATAAGCGCCTGCCTGGCAAGTGCAAGGTCTGGAGTTTGATACCTGGTACAAAAAAAAAAAAAAAAAAATCATACTGTTCCTGGGTACAAACACATATTTCCAATCAAGGTCAAAAAAACACAACCACATACTAATGTTGGGTCTTGACTGGCATGAGTTTTGGCATGAGGAGAACTGGGTGATTTCCATAGAGAACTCTAAGCCTTGGTCCTGACATTTCTTAAAAAGCCAAAATCAGGGGCCGGGGAGATAGCTCAGTAGAATAAGTGCTTGCTTGGCAAGCACAAGGGCCTGAGTTCAATCCCCAGTTCTG